CATTGGGCAGACAAAACTCGGGCATCCGACAATACAGTTAGCACGAAATGGAGGCGGAACCCGGGTCCGGGTTTGGTGGGCCTCATTTCGCCTCCAGCTGCCCATTACGCTTCGACGTCTTCTGAATCGACCAATGGTAGCGAAAATTCTTCCTTCAGAACTACAACATGAGATTGCGAGTTTTCTCCTTCGGAACCATAACGATCAGAACTGGTTTCAGAACGAGTTCTCCTCTTCGAAAACATGTTTAGTAAAAGAAAGAAAGATTCAAAGAGAAAGGAGAAGAGAAAACTTCTTGAACCTTAGAAAAGTTATGCGGAAAGATGTAAGTAAAGAATTTGAAAACTTAATCCACATACTTATAAAAAAATTTTACTATTCACCTTTGGACTTTTGGCCATTAAAGTTCCGCCTAATTCTACCAAACTTGCTGAACAAGTTCAAACCGCTCGCAAGAACTCTACGATTCTTACGAACTGGGGGACTAACTGTTTGCGTCAAAATCGGTACGACGGATTCAATGACCAAAACTTTCCGCGAAAATAAAAATACGTTTTATAAAACACGAAAAGTTGTTTTATAAAATTCGAAGGAATTTATGAACAAAGGACATCCGCGCGAAAATTGGAAATTGTGTTCTCAGAAAAACGAACGAAACAATCTCCGATTACATGATTGTCCAAGTTAAGAAAAAAACCGCAAAAACCGCATCCGCCACACAAAGAGCAGGTTCGACCGAACTAGTTCGATGTGCGACAAGCCGAACCAGCCGGTTCAGCTCGCCGCACGGAGAACTGATTCGTCCTGGACCAGCTCGTCGTAGGGCGAGCTGAACGGTCTGGTCCAGATCGCCGCACGGCGAGCTGAACTAACTCGGTTCGGCTCGCCGTACGTCGAGCTGACCGTCCTGAGCCTTGCTCCCCCGCATCCTCAACATAAGGCATACGTCCTTCGATTCGATCATGCTCTGAATCATGGTCGAAACATCTCTCGTTTCATCTCAATCCGTCTTACCATTCGAGTTTTACGATAAAAATTGTAAAAGTCTTATTTTCTCGTAAGAATTCGGAAAGATCTTATAAAACGGCAACGATTAGACGGAACATCGTACATTGTCAAACTATACGGTTAACTCAAGAAGTTTTATTAAAAACACCATCGTATCAGGAAACGATCTCGTCTAAAATTGTAAAATGTTTTTTACGCAAAATGGGTCGGAAACTCCTAAAACGCGATGAAAAACTATCCACGGTTTTAGACGAAGTCCAGCCCAAAGATACAATGACGGTTTGACTATTTACTCGCAGAAAGAATATAAATGTCAAGTTTGAAGATAAGTAGAAGATTTCCGAAGAAAAATGGAAAGATCGAGATAAATGGAAGATATTTGATAGACTCGAAGCTTGTCGAAAAAGAAGGACTAAACCGGCTAAGGAGGGAGTATATAAGCTCAAGGCCAAGGACAGAGGAAGAGGACAATTTTTCAGAGCTCTCACCACAAAATTTAGCATTAGGAAACTCTTCGTTTTTTGTTATCGAACTTCGTCTCAACTAGGGTTTTCAGTTTTAGGTTGTTTGAACTAGGGAACTCGCCGTCAGCTCTTGTAGCCAAGATTTTACCTCGTTGTACCACTCTTACGCATAATCAGAATAAGATCCTTCTTGCTCTCAATCTCGTTTTAACATCTTTTACTTATTCTTATCGTTTACTTGATTGCTTGTGTGTGGTTCCGCAGATAGCCGGGTCTTCTGGGAAATTAGGTTATCTCTAAGTTCCTTTATTTACGTAAAATCGACAGGGGTGAATTTCGGTTCCCACAATATGAAATTCAGAACTTCATTTAATAAATGTTTGTTTGCCTTGTGTTGTAGATATTGACTTTAATCTTGATTGTTCAGTGCTCATCAACGAATGTCTTGATCTGATATGTGAAACTCGAAAATTAGATGACTTGAGAGTAGAAAAGTTTGCTGGAGATTATCATGAAGTATGTTTTGACATTAATTATCTTTGTGCTTCAAATGAACTTGAATCAGACTTTTTGATGCTTGAGAATTCTGGACCTCTTTGTGAACTAGCCGACTTGGGGATGAACTTGATTTAGATAAGATCTTGCATGAGATAGAAAACCTCCAGGTCGAAAATAATCATGAGTATAAGGGTATTGTGTTCTATTTGATTGATGGTGATAAAGTAGACTACTTTTTGAAAACCTCATTTGAACCTGTAGTCGACTTCATTTTCCACCAAATGCATTTTATTCTCATGATCAACTGACCATCAAGGAATATGTAATGATTTATGCTATGTCTGTAGTGAATGTCCTTGATAAAAAAATATGTCTATTTTCTATGGACAGTAGTGTGCTCCTTTGCACACTTTGATTCTTATTCTTGCAGGAGAAGGACCAAAGGTGCATTGGCTCAACCTTTCGATTCTTCTGACTAGCAAGCACACAAAGTCAAGCTGTGAGACTCAAAATTAGCGCGCTTGGGAGGCAGTTGCCTCTTATATTTTGTACATCCATCTGTCTTTTATTTTCTTTCTTATGTTTGCTTAAATAAGTGTCACAGGACTTGTGAGAGAAGTCAATCGACCACTTTGTGGGAACTTTACATCGTTCCTGAAGGATCAATCAAAACCGTAAAAGTCCAAATGCGCTCTCCCTGTCTATCCACTCTTGAATCCAGTCAACGTGCAATCTATAAATTTTTCTTTTCTTTCTTTTAGAGTTTTTTATTTTTTTCCCCTTCCTCTATTAGATCTTTTTTTTCACACCGAGATAGTGTGAAGTAACTCTGGGGGAGTATGCTTCTAACACCATTTTACTTTTGATATTTTTGAGCCATTTTTTTCCTTTGCATAGTTTTATCGAGTAAAAAAAGGTTTCAAGAAATACCATTTTATTTGGAATCAATCGTTCAACAAACCCCTTAATGACCATTCTTTTAGCCACTCACTGCAGATTTCAAAACATGAAAACACCCAAGTGGATTGATCTTCCAGTGCCACCCATGCTCTCAGTATCTGAAGGACCCAAAGCTGGACTTCACCTAATCTATCTAGTTATTTTGTCTTGGGGCTTGGTATACATTGGATCAGAATCCTCGTTCAGGTCTGAAAATAATGTGAATACAGTTTCCTCTCTCGTCCCTTTAAAAGAAAACAAAAAGATCAAAAAGAGATAAAGGTCAAAAAGAAGTGAATTGGGAACTCGGTGGTGAATTCACTCAGTACTCGTATCTCATGGAAGCCTATCCAATAACTCAGTCATTAGAAAAGGTAAAATGATACCTTACCAAGTATGGAGAAATCGACTGAGAGAAGTGAGAAAAGAGAGAGGAAAGAAAGTAGAAGTAAAAAACCTGAACGGGAAAGACTCCATGTGTCCATTGATCGATATTCTCTCAATGAGACTGCACATTTCAATTTCTAATAAGAAGTCAGTGATCGTGAATTTGGGTCACTCGAGGTTTGGGTCGAAAGTGGTATTTGCTAAGATGAAGCTCAAGTACATGGAAGTATCCTCTAAAGTTGGTACTTTTCGATGTGGCTTACAATAGGTAATGGTAAAGACAGTTGTCTAAAGAAAGTGTAAGTTTGCATGTTTTCAAAACTTTTTCTCCCTTTGATTTAGTCTTTGTTTCCTTTACTTGATGACAAGCAAAGATTCAAGTTTGGGGGATTTGATAAGTGTCTTTTTTGCATGTTTTTAGCCATTGATTTTGATCATTTTAGGGTTTAGGAGTTGCATATAGGTGTTATTAGGTGTTGCATTTGTATATTTTGCATACATAGGGGCTGGAGTGCTCAATATAAAGTTATGGGGCTAAATGGAGGACAAAAGTGCACAAAATGGAAGTTATGGGACCAAAGTCGAAGAGGAAGAAGAAGAAATGCAGTTTCACTTACAGCTCTGAAGTGTCCACTTCAAGAACTTGTCTTCAGCACTTTGTTTCTGTAGGAAAACCTGCGAAATTACCTAAAGCTCTGAAGTGACCACTTTAGGAAAGCTGCATCTTGCACATTGATGCTCTAGGGAAGCTGTTTTGTTTGGGCCATTGTGTTTTGAGGTCCATTAGTGACATTGTCTATATATACATTGTTAAGGATGACAAAAACCCTAAGCTACCTCAGCCACCTTCTCTTATTTTCTTTTGTTCTTAGATCTAAAAATTTTGTTAATTCTTGCACCTAATCTAAGTACTTATTTGTTTATATCTTCTCTACACTTCTCTAAACATGATTATTCAAGGATCGGTGATAAATTCTTGGGTTTCCCTGGATTCTATTGATGCATGACTAGCATACGTGTTATTATCACGACAGTGGATTAACATATCATTGTGTTGGTAGATTAGAGAAACTTGTTAGTTGATTATGTTTGACATCTTAAGTATGAAATCCTTCATCCCTAATAAATTACCTTAACACGAGGGCTTACTTTTCTTAGTTCTATCTTTTAGTAGTTATTAGTTGTCTTTCCATTCCATTAGTTTAGAAGTCGTCTCACCTTTTCTATTTGCTTAGATTAAGGAGATTTGTGTATTCTTAGTGTTACCAATCACTAGTTTTCTGTGGATTCAATCCTAAAGTGTTGCATCGATATACCATTTGATTCTGGTAACATGCACATTACGTTAAATAGCATGTGGTAAAACGCAGAACATTAGTTTCATTATGCACTTTTGTGAAAAATATTCCCTTGCTGGATTAATATTAACTCAATTCAAAAATAAAATACGACAAGTTATTAGTCATGCATTTGTGATAAAAATGCAAATTTTTTTCCTCATTAAATTAAGGGTCTCATAATTCATAACCAAAAATAAATGGTGTCTTAGTTTACTGAGCAGTTGAACTGTGTAAGAGGAGGTTATTGGTAGCTTGATTTATGAATATTGTGTTCTTATCATACATATTCCTAGTATTATTTGTTTAAGATGTTAGACGATATCATCTCGAGAACATAAACAGAAAATATATGAATATAGTTTTGCTATGTTGGGCAACGGAATCCATCGGGAAGGGTTCCTCCACAGGCGTTGAGGGCCAAGTTAAGGTGAATGGGAGTGTTGGTGGTGATGCCGAGAATGCTGAGTTTAAGCGCGGTGCAGAGGCAAAGCACAATATCAAGATCGATTAGACCTAAGAGAATAGAGCAACAAGGTCTCATAGCTGGTGCGCCAAGATTCAAGTTGATGAGGTTGAGAACATTTGCGCATGTGGAAAGTTTGAGCTGGTCTCTTGGACAAGTATTTTCTGCCGCAACCAGGAAAATGAGGTTGAGGAAGAGAAGATTACTTACAATGAATAAAGCAAGTGTGGTTGAGGTCTTTGCTGCCATAGGCTGTCGAGTTTGTTATTTATTTGTTTCTATATGATATATGTATATGTCTGTTACTTTCAGCTACGAAGAATATAGATGTCAGGGAAGGTTTATTTATATATAATGTGTTGAATTGTTCGTTGGTTAGATTATTAATTAGAGATTAATGACATTCTAGTGTCTAACTAGAACTAATTAATATATAGTTGGAGAAAGTTTAGCACTCTTAGTATTAGGTAAGCAGGATTATATATGTTTGGATACAATATTGGCTCTTCCGGTTTTTTTTTCTGACAATCGAAGGTAAGACGACTGGAAAAAAAATCCGAATAATCAAACCAAATCCGATCCGAAAAAATAGTACCAAACCCAAACAGAAAATGATTAAAAATCTATACGTGTTCAAAAATTTGATATCTAAAAACCAGAAATGAATCTAACTCGAACCGAAATATGTCGGGTCTCTGAATATATCCAAATCAGATATAAATACTTAAATATATTAACTATTTTTAGAGTTAATATCCAAAAATATTTAAAATATATAAGATATTTTGAAGTTATCAAAAATAATTTATAATATATACAAATAGTTAAAAGTAAATTTCTAAAATAGTTAAACAATACTCACTACACAAAAATTACTTGAAATATATATTGGTTTTTTATCCAAATATTCAAAAAATCAATTTTTATGTTAAGTGTAGGTATGTTGGCCGTCATTCTTCAAATTTTTATATAATATAATATAATATATTACTTTATTTTAGATTTTGAAAAATTTAAAGTATATATTTTAAATAATTTTAAAAATCTTTTAAACATTATCCGAACCTAAACCAAACCCGCAAAGATCCGAATTGAAACCGACCAAAAATTTATAAATACCCGAATGAGACTTAAACTTTTAACTTCAAAAACCTAAAACTAGAAAAGATCTGAACCGAACCTAAATGGGTATCCGAACGTCCACTCCTAACGAACACCTATTCTATTACTCAAACTGGTCTGGTAATCATATCGAAATAGAACAACTAATAGAACAAAAATCTCTAGGAAAAGATCTCGCAGTCCTAACTAAAGAATCAGAAATTCCGTTTTCATTCGCGGGATATATGAAATCTTGAAGACCGTGAAGCATAACCGGAGACTCTTTACCTCATACAATTCTTTCACAAAATTTGGCTCTTGATTACTTTAATACTAGGAGGGAAATGTATATGAAAGTCTCTAAACTATAAAATAAAATACTATCAATCAGTATAAGTATAAATTAGAGCTTGATCTACGCACGCGCAGATGTTTTATTTTAGTTTTTTATAAATATATAATTATTTTGTATAAATGGTAATATATATTTTTATAATTTACCCACATTAGATAACTGTTTAACATGACATTTCTAAATACAGTAATTTTAGCTTATATTGAGTATTTTTTTTTCTTTTAAACCGTCCGTTATATCATCCATCTTTTTAGAATATAATTCACACATCCACACGAATGTATTTTTATATTTTACAGATCAAAAATTTAATGATGATAAATTGGTATATATACTATTAAAATTTGATGCTATACATTTTATACTCTTAATCATTTATAACATTTAATTTATATTGGATTATATTATTATATGGAAATAAAGGTAAAATAATATATTTACATATTAGTTTATATATTATATAAATATTTTTTACGTGGATTGTTTTTTAGTTATTACTAATATAGTAAGAAATATAACTAATCTTTAAACAATATTGTGCCATGTATTTAGTTAACGAATACTTAAATTGATTTAGGTGGTTTTATGGTTGTTTTGTCATTTTTATTAGCTACACATTAATATATCTAAAACAATTTTTGTCATGGGTTTATGTTGTTTACCTAAATTAATTAATAAGCATTAATTGATTTTATTATGTTTATTAAATTGTTGTTTTAAATTTATGTTTAATATTACTTATTTTGAAAACCAATTTAGGAATGTGTTTATGTTGCTTTAATTGATAAAATTATAATATAAATGCTAAAATTTTACGATTTTGAAGTTTCTCAATGACAGTAGAATGTAATTAAATAATAAATATGTACATATGTAAATGTATAATATTCGTTCCAGAATACCCTAGAAGGTAGCTATGTGACAAATCAAATCTAATTAGGTTAATTTATTATTTTCGACATATATATGGTTTCCTTGTTTGGTTAGGGACAAGAGTCCGCTTGAAAATAGCAATGTTTGTTTTCTTTGTTTTTAAGACCTACATTGGTGGTAAAGACTTGTATTCAATGACTTGGTTTCATGGTAAAGACTTTTGTGCTTTTATATTGTCTTACTACATATTTATCGGTTCATCTTCAAATTTTGACCTAACAATTTGGCACACTATTACGTGAATAAGAGTGGACAATAACATATGTTACTTATGATCAGTTTCAATAAAGGTTGTGTTGGTTTTCTGTGTGGTTCAGAGCATCTTTTGTAGCTACAACTTCTTTTGGTTTAAACTTGGTTTACGGCGGCCACATAACTAACTACAAACAATTAGACTCGTGAAACAAATTCGGTTAAGATTCAAAACTCTAGAGATTTTTAGTTTGATATTAACATATCATAGATTCCTGATACAAATTCGTCTCATAAGTCATTCATCAAAGAGTAGCCAAAAGAGTTTGAAATCAATAGAGTTTATCAAAGATATTGTTACAAAATAAGATTGATCATCTACAAGAAGTTTCACTCCGCTGAAATGAAACAAGACATACCTTCAAGAAGTGACATACAAACAAAATATAGTCAGATACTTTCTCTTCAAACTGGTCACATGAGTATTTAATCAAATGGTAGCAGCAATAGCATACACGAATTTGTAAGACTTGGGTACTTTAAGCACGGCATCAAACCACTCGACCTTTCCCCAAACTTCTTCACTGCTGCGTATTTCCAGGGAAATCGCAGCACACCAAATCATCTTCTCCTTATACCCACCACTTGCACGCACATACTTATCCCAAAAAACCACCATCTTACCACCACAATCAACCACTTTAACATTAATATAATGGGCAAACCTAGGTAGTCCTTCCAAACCCTCTAATTTACTCTAAACTAGGTGATTTTCCCGTGCTCATGCACGGGTATGAATATTCATAAAAATAAAATTTTATAATAATTGATTGGTATTTAGTTTTAGTTTTGAATCAATTAATAAGTATAATTTATATTAATAAGTATTATATTATTCTAATTATACATATGACTTTGGATATATTATTGTCGGTGTAATTATTTTCCGGATCAATAGTTGGTTTGGTTATCAATTTGGTATATTGGGTAATATCTATTTTTTCGAATTCAGCTATAATATCTTTTATTCTAAATATAATAAAATTTTGATTAATTTCTTTATTTTCATTTCGGTTGGTTATTGTCTTTATGTAACTATATTCTTAGATATGTAAATATATGATAGTTAAATTGTGTATAACTTAATATATATCGTGCTTAAATGAAATAAATAATTGATTGGTATTTAGTTTTAGTTTTTAATCATTTTATATGTATAATTTATATTAATAAATATTATATTATTCTAATTATACATATGACTTTGGATATATTATTACCGGTTTAATTATTTTTTTATCAATAGTCGGTTTGGTTATCAATTTGGTATATTAGATAATATTTATTTTTTGAATTCAGCTATAATATTTTTTATTCTAAATATAATAAAACTTTGATTAATTTTTATTTTCATTTCAGATGGTTATTGTCTTTATATATGTAAATATATTCTTAGATATGTAAATATATTATAGTTAAATTATGTATAACTTAATATATATATATATATATATATATATATACATATATATATTTATATATATATATATATATATATTTATATATATATATATATATTATGCTTATAATGAAATAAATAATAAGCTGAAGTGTTTAATTCAAAATTACATAAATGAATATAATGATAATATTTTGAAGTCGCATGCATATATATATAAATTCTAAAAAAGAATTAAATTGTAATTGGTTAATATTTTCTTTTTATTTTTAATATTCTTTGGGTCAACCTCTAGTTTATATGTATAAAACTAAATAGATTATTAATATTATTCTTATTATTATTATAAAATTATATGTTCTTATTGTAGTTAGTTAATTACTTTTGAATATAAATTAGATTAACCGAGTCATTCATTTTGTGAGTATATTGAATATCATATATTTGTAAATTAAAATTGAAGAATAATTACTTTTTATTTTAGTTATGTCAAATCAAATTAGTTTTATTTATCGCTTAAATATACATTTATTTTCATAATATTTATTTACTATTTATTTTAGTTAAGTCAAATCAAATTAGTTTTAGTTATCGCTTAAATATACATGTATTTTCATAATATTTATCAAGTTATATGTTGATTTCTAAAAAATATTAGAAAATAAAGTGCAACTGATAAGTTTTTGGATGTTCATGAACATATATATTTTTATTGTTTTGAAAATATATTTTATGTTATTTTAAAATATATATTAATGGGTATTGCTATTTTGTGAACTTTCCGTTTTAATAAAGTCATATTATATACATATATTTCGTTTTTAAAATTTGTTTTGAAATTTTAGAAATATTTCCTTTTTATTGTATATGTTATTTGGAAAAAGGTAAAAAACTAAATAAAAAATAATAATCTTAAAATCTAACAAATCATTAAGGGTATATATGTAATCAACCATCGTGAGAGTTAACGTAAGCGCGACACGTAGGAAACTGACTTCTCAAATAATATTATAGAGATATCTGATCCGCTGTTAGACCTAAGAAAGTCTCCATTGGATCCATAACCATAGAATCTTTTCTCTATCATACAAACATTACTAAACTCTACCCAGTTGATTGTAGAATCCTTTAGCTTTAGAACCAAAGAGTCTCTCTTACCAGACGGTAGATTAAAGTTCTTGTACAGCTTTCCTTCGAAATCTGTGGCTCTGAATATCCTCTTCTCGTCAGGCACGGCCTTCCAAGTTTCGTTCTGTGTGTTGAACACTTTGTGTTCCGAGTTTCAAAGAATCTGGATTCTCGTAGATTCCTGCTAAATCCATGATTCCATCAAACTTTCGCTTGGTGTGAGCAAGCCGCAAGCTAGGAGTTTCTCCCCACGTGTGCGTTTGACAGTCGTTAGAAGATGAGGGGACATCGTCATCTTTGTTGATAGCGTGGAGCTTATGACCAACAGCTACGGTATCTGACCATTCTACAGGAAAAGAGTTGAGAATCTGAACGGGAACCAAGATATTACCACTTGACGTCTCATACTTCTTACAGATGTGACTGTTTAGGGTTTTGTCTGGTTTACGACAGAGAGTGAACCAACGAAGATTAGGTTCAGTAAGGAGCTGTAAGCACACATAGAGACACTTCTCGGTGCGGTTCAAGAGATATCGGGTCTGGTAAAGCTCCGGTGAAGAAGTGAGAGATCGAAAGGTCTTGGAGACGAGTGATAGAATTGGGTAGTGCAATCTCGAGACCCGAGCTATGCATTCCAATACTAAGTCATCTCTAACTGGGAAAATTCGAGGTTGGTTCTGTCGCCTGCTTCTTCGAAGGTGGCTCTTGCCCAGAAGCGATGGCTGTGGACGACATTGCTCAGCCACGACCTGCCTAAAATTTTGGATATTTACACGCTGAATTATCGCTTAATATTTGGTTTGGTTTTAACGAGGCTCACTTAAAGTATTTTTGTAATTAAGCGCATAGACTATATTAAAATATATATGTTTAAGAAATTTAATGAAATTCTCCAATATAATATATTAATCATTCATAAAGTTTTAGTTAATGAGTTTAGAAAGTTATACACATATAACAGAGTTTCCATATATGATATATTTTTGAGTTGTCACATAATCATGCATGTCTTAGTCTTATTCGTTAAATGTTCAGCTATGAATCTGTTGGAATTTGGATGTTAGACAAAAAAAATTTAAGAACATGGATGTATACTAGGAATAAATTTTAGCTATGTTGGGCAACGGAATCCATTTGGAGTGTTGGTGCCGAGCAGGACCAGGGCTGGCTAAGTAAAATATTTTCTATAGGCCCACTGTTAAGAACCATTTCTGGTGGTTGCGTCATATCCGGAACCGAGTTGGACTCGTCCATAGACCAGAAGCCCATCCGACCACGACTGAATCAGATCAGGTTTATCCGAGGTTCCTTGTCCTTATCTACATGCGTCCATGAGAACATCTTATCCATATCTTCTCTTAGTGTTTATCCTTATCCTTGTTGTAATTCTTATCACTTTATGATTAGGCTTATCTACTTGCTTATGACGGTCTAACTGTTTGTATATATATGGGACGACATCATGATTAAATAATACTAGTTACACATTCTGCTTACAACACGTTATCAGCACGATCGTCCTAACCCTAAGCAAAGAAAAATCCAACTACCCTAATTAAAAACCCTAGCCAGCGAATCCATCCTTCCTTGGCGTGATCTTCAACTTCTGCAACTCAAACTCAACTTCAAACTTCGACCAGAAGCTGCAGAACCTGAGACATTCCAAATCAATCCGACCAAAGCTCTCTACGCATCCAAGGTTGCGCCCCATCTGTGGTCCATTCAGATTCATTGGTGATTAAGGTAAAATCTACAAACCCTAAAAGTAGAGTTATGAAAACCCCTAATCTATGTCTAATCTGGTTTGTTTATGAACCCTAATTTATAACCCTAAAACCTCAAGCCTGCCGCATGTATGCAATCCGCATACAATGCATGGTTTATCCAAAACCCTAATATTATTGTCTTGAAATCGTTTGCTTGCTAATTCCATGTGCTTGTTTGATTTTGTTCAAGTTGTTTATGTTGAATGTTTAAGTGATTCAACTTGATACATTTCGAGATTTGCTTTTGGTAATTGATATTTGATAAACCCTAATTGTTTAAAGTATGAAAACGGGTTGCTTGTTGTTCTCTCTCTATCCGATTACTAGTCTCATCGTTTGCTTGACTAAAATTGTTTAGGCTGCATAAAATCTGATAGTTTTCATTAAAATATTGACATATCCTGAGGCTATATGATTGTTTGATCACTAGATAATATGTTTTGAGGTTTAGAATCTGTTTTTTTTAAACCCTAGAACAGATTTCTTGAATGTGATCGCCATAAACCCTAATTCTAGGGTCGCGATTTTTATGCCTTAAAGTTGATCTTGTTTGCTTGAGTGATCCGTCTGAATACCTTGATTTTGAAAGTGATTGCTAGGTTAACTGTTTACATGTTTAGAACTTGATAAATTGTTCTTAAACCCTAGTTGTTTGTTTACATGATCCGGTTGCTTATTGTTAAGTTTTGTTCTAAATAAATTCGACTATACTGCATAAGTCTTGATAGTTTCTAGTAAAACCTGATCATCTTGAGACTATGTGTTCGTTTGACCTAATTTTTTTTAGAACCAAAACTGCTTAAGTTGATCATTGAAACCCTAATATAACTTCGTGTGATCTGATTTCTTTATCATTCTTGCAATGTTTTAGTTTTTTAAATCCCCTGATTGCATGATCATTCTGAATGTTTTAAGACTAAGATATCATATGTTAGGTTAAAATTGTTGCCCTAGGTTTCATCTTGTTTAAAATCGGCCATAGTTTAAAAACCCTAATTCGGTTACATGAACTTGTTAGTTGCTAAAGCTAATTGTTTGTTGCGAGTTTTGCTTGACCTATTTGTTGCTGATCACATGATTCATATAGAACTCATATGCTAGGTCTGATTGCATCATATTTTTTTTAAAGATCTTGATTACATCTAAGAACCTAAAACCCTAATGTGATCCGATTGTTCTAAAGTATGATTTTATAAATTTCAGATGTCAAAATTAAGCAACCTAGACTATGTTTCCCTGAATGTCTCTGGTGACAACTATTGCAATGGGCACTTGATACAAGGATCATGTTGAGATCAAAGGGCCTCGGTGACACAATCACTGTTGGCAACAATTCAAGTGATAAAGATAAATATAGAGCGATCTACTTGATCCGCCACCATCTCAATGAGAGTCTAAAGAATCAGTACTTGACTTTAGAAAATCCACTAGAACTTTGGACCGGCTTACAACGGAGATATGATCACCAGAAAACGGTGCTATTACCAAAGGCTACATATGAGTGCAAAAATCTGAGATTCCAAAACTATAAGTCTGTGGATGAATATAACTCAGCATAATTTAAAATTGTTTAAATGTTGAAACTTTGTGGTCAAGAAGTAACTGAGAATGAGTTACTAGATAAAACCTTCTCTACATTCCATTCGAGTAATGTACTACTGCAACATCAGTATAGAGAAAGAGGTTTTGCCACATATATTGATTTAATCTCCTGTCTATTATTGGCTGAGGCTAATAAAGAATTACTTATGAAGAATAGTGAGATGAGACCTCCAGGAACAGCACCATTCCCCGAATTGTCCAAACCGGCCATAGAAGCCAAGAAAGAAAATAACCTCGTCTAACACAATAACCAATCCGGCACTGGCCGTGGCTCTTATAAGGCACATGGGCGAGGACGAGGCCGCAGGAACTCACCCAGATTTAGCTGTGGTCGATGTTGTGGCCGGGGCCGAACTGGGTCCTTTAAACCACAAAACATATCTGATTTGTGCCATAGATGTGGTATGGGTAATCACTGGGGAAAGAATTGCCAGACTCCTAATCCTTTGTGCGAGCTCTATCTTAAGGATTTGAAATGAATCCGGAAGCCCACATGGTCCAAGATGCTGGATATGATGAAGAAGACATGGAGTACGTCCAAAGTGACCCAAAGGAGTCTCAAAAACTCTACCAAGTTGATCACATGGAATATGAGACTGCTGACATGTTAAAATGGAAAATGTTCTATGATTGCTTTGTTTGTTTTTATGTTTTTTTTTTCTTTTGATTGATTTTGTTTGAGATTTTATCTTATGAATGGAATTATTTTGTTTTCTTCATTAATTCTATGATTCTTGCTTTAGAAGAATGAAAAAGGAAATGGATACATTTTCGGTGGACAGTAGAACCAGCCACACCATATTAAGAGAAAAAAGATATTTTATAAACCTTACTCATAAGGTCGGCAATGTCTCCACCATAGCAGGCAAGGCCAGCTTAATAGAAGGCTACGGCCAGGCCCATATCTTATTGCCTAATGGTACTCATCTTGAAATTTCAGTTGCATTGTACTTGCCAAGTTCTAAAAGAAGCCTGTTGAGTTTCAAAAACATAACATTGAATGGTTTCCATATTGAAAAAATTGGCGAAGAAAATAGAGAGTTCCTTCAGATTTATGAAATCACCCAAGGCAATAAGAAAGTCCTAGAGACTATACCTGCGTGTGGGACTGGTCTTTACTATGCCAAGACCAGTCTCGTAGAGGCTAATGTCGTGATGAATAAAGAGTTCAAGGAACAATTCACTCTTTGGCATAACCGGTTAGGCCATCCCGGTTCAAACATGATGCAAAAACTCATAATAAATTCAAATGGGCACAGTTTGAAAAAAAAAGAGTTATCCCAAAATATCTCACATGTGAAGCATGTTCACAAGGGAAACTAATTACTAGGCCATCACCAGCAAAAGTCCATAAGGAAGTGATAAATTTTCTGGAAAGAATACAAGTGGATATATGTGGACCTATACACCCACCCTGTGGGACGTTTAGATATTTTATGGCCCTAATTGATGCATTGACGAGATGATCACATGTTTGTCTCCTATCCACACGCAACTTGGCACTTGCAAGATTTCTAGCTCAGATCATAAGACTTAGAGCACATTTTCCAGACTTTCCTTTAAAGACTATACGTCTAGACAATGCTAGTGAGTTCATGTCCCAAGTTTTTAATGACTATTGTATGTCATTTGGAGTAAGTGTGGAACATTCTGTACCTCATGTACATACTCAGAATGGTCTGGCCGAGCCCTTTATCAAACGTATTCAGCTGATAGCCAGACCACTATTAATGAGATCTAGACTCCCGGTCTCAGCTTGGGGACATACAGTTTTACATGCAGCTGAGTTGATTTGTATCATGCCATCTAGTGAGCATAGATACTCGCCATCCCAGTTATTAACGGGTCATGAGCCAGACATTTCCCATGTAAAAACGTTTGGATGTGCCGTCCAAGTGCCTATAGCACCACCACAGAGAACAAAGATGAGACCTCAGAGGAGATGGGAGTATATGTTGGATACAATTCCCCCACAATATTAAAATACCTTGAGCCAACCATGGATGATGTGTTTAAGGCCAGGTTTGCGGATTGTCATTTTGATGAATCCCAGTATCCAGCATTAGGGGGGAGATAGTGGTAAGCTGGTACATGATATAAAATGGAATCAAACATCCTTAACATGGCAAGATCCTCAGACTAAAGATTGTGATCTAGAAGTCCAGAAAATAATACATTTGCAAAAGCTAGCTAATCAATTGCCAGATTCCTTTGCTGACCCAAATAGAATGACTAAGTCATACGTACCAGCTGTAAATGCACCTATAAGAATCGATGTCCAAGAGAGACAAAGTCAAGTTGCTAATGAGTCTGGACACAAATTGAAACGTGGTAGACCAATTGGTTCCAAACATAAGAACCCTTGGAAGTCTAAGAAAGGTGCTAGATCTGAGGACCATAAGGAAACCGTCCAGGACATTAATGGACCGGCCGTTCCGGCCGTGCCGACCGTTCCGGCCGTGCCGACCGGACTGGTCGAGCCAAGTGGGCCGGACGGGCCGATGGTGCCAATAATTGGGGCTCGGGACGCTGAGCTTCATGGTACACAATATCCTGACAATAATGAGATCTCAATAAATTATGTCATGTTTGGAAAAAAATGGAACCGTAAAGAAATCGAGATCGATGATATATTTGCATATAATATAGCACTTGAACTTATGGATAATGAGGATCATGAACCCACGTCTATATATGAATGCATGCAACGACCATATTGGTTGAAATGGAAAGAGACCATTAACGTGGAGTTAGAATCATTGACAAAGAGAGGTGTGTTTGGACCGATCATCCGGAGACCTCATGATATGAAACCAGTTGGACACAAATGGGTCTTTGTGAGGAAAAGAAATAAGAAAGGAGAAGTTTTGAGATATAAAGCACGGCTTGTTGCACAAGGAC